CCTGTGTTTTGTCTGACTTGGACACGAATTTCCAAGAGTGGTACCTTTGGAGCATTTATTCCCGACATTCAACTTTTGTCATTGGAGCATTTATTTCTGGATGGAGGTAGTAATATTCAAATGACACAGATTCTCCCGACAATTTACAGTTAATTCATCAACAGAATTTAATTCCAACATCACGACTTTAAATCTAAAATATGCTTGATTGGCTATAATATTACCCGTATTTCGAAGTTGTTCGTCCAATCAGTTGATTCTACTGATGCTCTTCTCGATGTAGTATCAAAGCTCGAACGATTGTACTTCACACTTCCTACATTTTAAATACTTCATTGACACCTCATACAAAACCGAAATGTACATTGATTTGATTGATTTTAATTCCATGACATTGGCAATTTCGTCCGCCACCAACATTTCAAGAGCACTTCATCGGGAAACATGGCGTCGTTCAAGCAGCTCTTTTCGGCGGCACCAGTGAACTCTGTCGAGTAAGTGCCGCCATCGTCATTGATGAGGCCAACATACATGTGGCGTAGTCAGTTGTTCACGCGGCCCCGCGTCGCATTTTACTCTTTCATTGCGTTTGGGCCAGGGACTATGTTGTGGATTTACCTCCACAACCTCAAGGTGGAAATGGAGAATGACAACGAAGCTTCCAAGATGATTGCAATGATGAGGGCGCAGGAAGAAGTGCTCGAGGAAGAGCGAAAGGAAGTCGCGATTTTATCCCAGATGCAGAAAGTCCAGGCCAACCTCCAAGCACTGCACAGTCGGCTACGGTCCCTCGAGGAGACTGTCACAGGGAAGAGTGCATTGGAGCCACTTGCTGACATCCTCCCGGTATCCACCGATACGGAGAGCAACGAAGATGCCTCGGCACCGGCTGATTCAACCGACGACAGTTCCTTCCTTGCAACGATAAAGTCGACGGCATATCAATGGTGGAAGGACGAAGACATGCAAGAAAAGATGGATGCATGGTACAAGTACCTCTGGGAAGATGACGAGATCGACAACCTGTTCAATCTCGACGCGTGGAAAGTGAAGCTGCTAGCATGGTGGAATGGCGAAGAACCTCCAATCAAGCTGCATGCGAATACACTGCTGCAGACTGTAGAGCAATGGGCGAATGTGGATGGGTCGCTGTCATGGCTTCGAAACAAAGACGTCGTTCATGCGAAACTCGAAGAAATTGCCAGAGCAGCACATGATGAGAGACGATCCGCGCAAGAAATGGATGCTGCCGCCAAGAAGGAAGAAGAAATCAAACGGCAGCGAAAAATTCAAGCCAAGCTGGAAAAACTGAACCAAGGTCAAAGCGGGATCGAGGCTCGAACGAATGTGGTGAACACAGCCCAGATACAGAAGGATTTTACATCTTATGGCAAGAACTAAAGCTCCGTCTTGGGGGCGTTCTTGATTTCGAGCAATTCAACGTCAAACACCAAGGTTGCTCCACCGGGAATCTTGGGAGGGGACCCACGGTCGCCGTATCCCAACCCAGACGGAATAGTCAAGCGGCGCTTTTCGCCGATGCACATACCAATGAGACCTTGATCCCATCCCTATTGCATACACGATAAGCCTATGCAGATAATACACAACCGCATCCACGTACTCGAATGACTTGACCAGCGCCCAAGGTGAATTCGAACGGCGAGTTGCGGTCCACGCTCGAATCAAACTTGCTGCCGTCTTTGCGCAATGTGCCCGTGTAGTGCATTGACAGTTTGTCGCCGCTTTCACTCTTGCGGGGGCAAAATTCCGGACGGTACTTGACCCCGACTCGGAGTTTATCATCCGCCGGAAGGTCTTTCTTGGCAAAGGCGGCAACGGCGAGACAAGCAAGGACGGCAATCACGCGCATGCTGCTTGCTGGTGTTGCAAAATTGACAATGCTCACACGTGTCATGCTGCTGTGCCTTCCGGAAAACAAATCCGGATAATGCGACGGCGAGGGCAAAAAATGCATAAAGCTCCCCTCACTTGAATAAATACAGTACATGTATGCAGACCATCGGCACCTTGATCAATGCAAACATTCGTGGACATGGCATGCAATCGATCAAGCAACGACGGTGCATCGGCGCAGGCAACTAGATACGTAGTAGTCCATTCACCCAGTTCCTGCAGTTTCTACTGTATGGCCAGTGCCCTCATATGGATGGCATTGTACTCGTGCCTTCAGCACTCAAGGATCTATCAATAGATTATTCTAAAACCAAGTAGTCTTTGAGATATACCAGTAGTCGAAGATGAGTAGGAATGATAGTCATTTACAACTGTGGAACTTAAAGTCCTCCCATAACAAATATTTTCCGTAACCGAACGATATAAATAGTCGAAGGTTTACGTGAAACAGCTGGTGCTTGCAAGTCCTTTAACAGTTGATGCAAGCTCATTTTGCAACCTACGCAATGAACACATCCGAGTTTGAACAAGTCGTAGCCTTTGTCAAGCCTGAGAGCCCACGTGCCCTTACAAAGGAGGAAAGGCTCGACATTTTGCGTCTTTATGCTTTTCTCCGTCACACTGGGGCCACATATGTTGACGTCCAGGTCGGTCGAATGCTCGGTCGCAGCGAAAGAATCGTAAAAGAAGTCTGGCGTGAACACATGCTCGAAAAGTCTGTTGTTGTTGCTCAACTTCCCGGCAACGCTACTGTCCACGCAACCCGTGTTCCTTGCAACCAGTACGTCCATGGTCTCGTGCAGCAATTCGTTCGGCAGCGCCCCGAAACACGCACGCGCACTGTTGCAAAGGACGTTTTGG